TGGAGGTGAGCACAGGGGAGATCTGGAGGTGAGCACAGAGGGGCATCCGGAGGTGAGCACAGGGGTATCATCTGGAGGTGAGCACAGAGGAGGGTCTGGAGGTGAGCACAGAGGGGCATCTGGAGGTGAGCACAGGGGAGATCTGGAGGTGAGCACAGAGGGGCATCTGGAGATGAGCACAGGGGTATCATTTGGAGATGAGCACAGAGGGGCATCTGGAGGTGAGCACAGGGGAGATCTGGAGGTGAGCACAGAGGGGCATCTGGAGGTGAGCACAGAGGGGCATCTGGAGGTGAGCACAGGGGAGATCTGGAGGTGAGCACAGGGGAGATCTGGAGGTGAGCACAGGGGAGATCTGGAGGTGAGCACAGGGGAGATCTGGAGGTGAGCGCAGAGGGGCATCTGGAGGTGAGCACAGAGAGGCATCTGGAGGTGAGCACAGAGGGGCATCTGGAGGTGAGCACAGAGGGGCATCTGGAGGGGTTTTTTCTTTTTTTCAGTAAAATAGAGTGGACAAACAGGATAGGTGCTCCTGGGGAAGTGGACTGCGGAGATGATTCTTTTTTAAAGATGGAAATGATCACAGTGTATCTGTACACAAACGGGAAAGTGCCATCAGAGAAGGCACAACGGATGAACACGTGACAGGGAACAGTTGCTGATGGGGCCTGGTGAACACGTGGAGAGCTGCTGCTGAGTGAACAGTGCACGGGGCTCAGGTGCTGAGTGTGGGTGGAGAATCCAGACTCCTCCGTAGCAGTTTTTCTTTGGCATCGAAAGTGAACCAGTCCAAGACGGGGAGAGAAGGGGAGGGTGTCTGGGGTGTGGCCATGGCAGGAGAGCTGGGGCAGGATGAAGGTGATACAGAGGTGAGGACCAAGTCCTATAAGCTCCGGACAAAATGCGATCACTCCAGTGGCCAGTCTCTAACTGGCCGGCTGGTTAATGGAAGATGTGGAGAAGGCTATGAGACCTTGTGCAATGGACAGTTGTTTCTTTGGCTGTTTGGCTCAGGAGCCTCCATGACAGATGTGAAGGGTACACTAACAGATCTAAGGCAGATAACCCCTCAAGGCCTTTAAGCTGTGGGCACCTGATTTAAACACAGTCCCGTGATCTACGGATGTTTAAGTGGCCTTACTTTGGTGACTGGTGCTCCTACTGACAGCTCTGGGTTTTGAGGGTTTCACACCAGCATTATGGTCCTGTGATCATCTGAGTTGGCCACAGAAGGTTCGAAGATCCAGAAGTTACTTCCCTGAGCCACACGTTGCCTCCCTTGTTTCTTGTTGAACTTGCTCGCCCCCCTCCAACCCTCTTTTAAGTCTCGACAGAACCGGCTTGTATCTTTCCAATAAATTAGGTTTAAGTTAACTGGCATATGTTTTGTTGTCTGCAGCAATTAACATAGGTAATGCAGCATGCAAGGGAAGAGGACTATTCAAACACTCGACCGGCTATGATTCTTTGAAATATAGATTTCATGGGGGAAGGAACCATCATTATCCATCTGCAGAAAGAAGCCCCGCTGTCTAGCATGTCTGGCACGCCAACAAGAAAAACATGCGAAACAAGAAATCGGATGGCCTTGCTTTGGAAGCGAGAACTCTGAGGATCCAAACAAGATGTGAAAAATTAACTTAGAGAAGAGAGTTACAAATTCTTGAATGGACTCCAATGAATTAAGACTTTGACCTCAAGCCTTTGTGCTGATTATTTATTATTGTTGGCCACTCTGGCTCTAAACAATT